AAAAATTCAAGGACAGATCCATAAATACGGATGTTCCTATTTTGCAATTTTCCGAGAGATAAATCAAAATTTTGACTATGGAACCTAAAAGAATATATATACGTGTGTTTGTCGAGTTTTTAGTTTTTGCCAACTTATGATATCTCCCGTTTACAATGTCAATAGTTCATGATTTTATAGTGAATCTGAAAAGAAAGGAAAACAGCACTGCTACACAGTCGATTTGTAACTTTGCGACATTATCGTTACCTAACTTTTTTTTGGGGCAATTTTCACATACGAGGGATGTCTTTTAAGTTTTGCATATAGAAACATAGTAGGCCGCGCGCATCGAACGTCATTACTGAATCTTAACCTCACTCTTTAGTAAACTTAAATTCAAAGTTTCACAACAATACGTGCAGTGTGTTCACTACAGTGAATTTTTAAGTGTCACCATGTCATTAGAAGAATGGAACTCAGCCGAGAACATTTTCGCGCCATAATTTATTACAACTTTCAGAGACAATTATCGCAACAAGAATGCCTTGCTGAGTTACTGTCTGTTTTCGGCAACGAAGCGCCACATCAATCGACAATTTCCCGTTGGTATGGAGAATTCAAACGTGGACGGGTGAGTCTTAGCGACGATCCCAGGGTGGGTGCACCAAAAACGGCAGTCATCCAGGAAAACGTCGATGCTGTGCGCAAACTCATCATTGAAGATAGTCATGTGACATATCGCGAGATTGAGGCGTCCTTGAAGATCTCAAAGACCTCAATTCAAAAAAATTTACATGAAGATTTAGGAGTAAGAAAATTAGTTTCTCGTTTCTCGGCTGTTTGGGTGTTCCGAGGTGAAGAAAAGCCTACAAAAGTCATCCGTTATCGAAGTGTTTCGAAAAAGATGGACGCGACATTTGTGTCAAATGCGGGTCGTATTGCAACAATTCCTCTTAATGAGCAAAGAGCGGATATTGCGGATTGGTATACCACCATTTGTTTGCCAAAAGTCATCACCGAGCTTCGAAAAATTAACCCCGAAAGAAGAATCGTCCTCCACCAAGACAATGCAAGCTCGCACATAGCCCAAAAAACAAGGCAGTATTTAACGGAAGAATTCGTGGAATTATTGGACCATCCTCCATATAGTCCCGATCTAAGTCTTAACGATTTCTTTACTTTCCCGAACATTCAAAACAGACTGCGTGGTCAAAGGTTTCAGTCACCAGGAGAAGCAGTTGACGCATTCAAAAATGCTGTTTTGGATCTGCCAGCAAACGAGTGGAATAAGTGCTTCAAAAATTGGTTCGAGCGCATGCAGATGTGTATTAATCTTCGTGGAAAATACTTCCAAAAACAAGTCATTTAAAACTACTTACCGTGTTGTTTTATTTCCATATTCAAAACTTAAAAGACATCCCTCGTATTGCCTTTGCGGAACCTATAATACTGTCCTAACTAATGCATAGAAAAACTTTAGCATGAAGTTTCTGAAACAAACCATTTCAGATTTCCCGTTCCACAAACACTGATGCATATTGTCTCATTCAATTACACTTCTTGTGTGATCATAAAAAAAGTAAATTTATATTTATTCGAGCAGGAAAGGCTATGATATTAAGTGTAAAAGTAAATTACTAAAAATCGTTTTGCCTCTTTTCAGTACAATGTAATTTTTGAAAAATCGATTTAAGAAGGAATAATTAATCGATTTTTTCTAATGTTAGAAAAACTGCATGATTTTCTGTACATTATGCTGGTACGAGCATTGCTGCTAGACAAATAGCTTTCAGGAATATCTAAAACATCATATGTAAGGGCACATGTTAAAAATATTTCACTCAATATCAAAGTTATACCTTTTTAAATTGACCCATTTTATAGCACATATCCTTTTTATAGGAAGATTGATGTTACACACTGAAGGATATTGATTATTATTAGTTGTTGAGTTATCTAATCTTATCTTTTGTGACAAAACACTTTTTAGTCCTTATTTTATTTGCAATGAATCTTTTTTTTAGAATTTCCATTAATTTCTAGAATAATCGAAAACGAAAAAACGCTTTTTCTCGAAAATTTAAAAAATAACATATTTTGCACTTTTTCAAATATTAAATCGCCTATGTCTCAAAATCTATCAACTAGAGAAAAGTTCATAAGAACCTCTTTTGTTCAGAATGACAAAAAAATTAAAGATTCGAGTGAAACAACCAATTTTTTGGATTTGCTTCAAAAACATATACAATAATATTAGGCTCAATTTTTGGCGTGGCAACATGCTGTAATTGCAATATTATTTCAAAGCACCATAGCTTGGCTGAACTTTTTAATCTTCTGACTCTGAACTGTCAACTTGACTCTAGCTGGTCGATTTAAATCGTTTGATGTAACAGCTTCGTGAAAGAAGGTGAATGGGCATCTAGCTCCCTGTCTTCTTTGTTCTCTCACGAGCTGTGCAAAGGTGTTCACCCTGAATCCCCAAAGCCAACACATATCAGGAAGCTGAACGAGGTTATTATTTTTGCTTTAGGCGATATACCTTAGAGGGGGCTTTTATATTGTGCCTCAGACGATCCTAATCATGATCTCTTTTTTCAACCAAGGGGCTCCGAATTTGAGTCCCTAATATATGAGCAACCTTATTCGAGGCCGGACGGCGTGGTCAAGGCAGCAGGGAGTTGGTTTGGCTTTTACTGAGGGCAGTATGAGGTAGCAGCTAAGGCGCCTAGATATTCAATCTTGCGGGGCAACATAAGGTGCTGTAGTTGCAGAAGTGCAAGGATTGCCCTCAAAATCACCCCACGCTTTCGAGAACGGACACCTAACTTTCCAGAGTACCTAATAATAATTTGTACGTCTTTGAGTGCTGGCGTTTTTATCATAGGTGGTAATTTGGTACTCTGGTTTAATGATAGCTTATACTTTTTGAGCTTTAACATTTATATTATACAGGGTGTAAACCTATGGGTGGATCAACGATAGTCAGATGATAGCGGGCCTCATACCTATCAATTGAACTTCTATTTATGTGATCCGATTTTTTATAGCTCAGGAGATATTTGCATTTTTGTGAAATTTTTAAAAAACGGGATTATTAACTTTCAACCCCAAGTACAACTAAACTGTTAGGTCTAGTGCTGCGATTTTTTTCTGGTATGGGGTAAATGGTTAGTCTTGTCAATGGTTATATCATTTTCTAAAGTTGCTTTATAAAAATCAACGCAAACAAATTTCATTAATTATTTTTTTGTGAAAAATCTGTTCAATACCACAACTTTGGAGAGCAGTAACATTAATTGAGGTTGTATTTTATTATGCATTTTATTGAAGAAACTATTTCAATTTCTGTAGAATCAACTCTGTATATTTTACGCGGTTGGGTGTCTATGCATGCAAACAAGAAATTCTGTTTCACGGGCTACAGTACAAACGGCTAGATGGATTTTGACATATCCAGCCATAACTTTACACCCTGTATAATCAACTATATTATAATGGTCTATGTTTCAAATTTACTGGGAATTGCTCAGTGAAATGTGAAAAGAATTCGGCATTTCATTTATTAACAACTGACCCTTGGACAAACGAGGTTCACCCTCAGCTTTCCTTTGCCCGTCTCAATGCAGATTAGGTATAAGAGGTCGTTTTTTTATACCAAAGCAGCCGCGCAGGCAAAAGCCTAAATGCTGGGACATCGCGGCTGCTAAGAGGATCCCAAAGAAACTTTATTAATCCGATTTTTGAACTGTCTAAGGTTAGTAGATCTGTAAAAAGCCTCCTCTTGTAGATTGTTCCACAATCTCGACACCCTACGGACAAAGGAGCGGTCGTTTCTGCCAGTTCTGGAAGTACGAAATTCGACACGGTTAGGATGGGAGGCTGAAGTCAGGCGGGTCTGTATGGTAGGCGCATCGCGCGGCGGCCTCATCGAGGAGAGCTCTGAGGAGCAAACCCCGGTGGTGTAGCGGTAAAAAGGGTCTCGAGACTGTTTGTTGGAGAACTTTTACTTCTTACTCCACTAGTGTGGAAGTATTGTAATCATGAAAAATTTTGAAAATGAAATACTGTTTTTGGATGTTATATGACATGTACATCACTGGAAAAGCACCGCTCGGTTTTTTGAGGAAATTTTCACATAAGTTTAATTCTTTGCGAATGACGACAAAGCTTTATAGTTTTTAAAAATGAATCCAGTGGCGGCGGAGCTAGGGGCAGAAAAGTAGAAAAATAAAAATTGCTCCCGATCATTTTTGAAGGAAATTAGAGGCGAAAGATTGGGAGGTGGTGGAAGGTATATCTCAATTATTTAACAGTGGTAATTCTAAGCACATATTTCACTCATCATAGATTCCTCCGAACATTTATCCTTAAAACTGGCGGATAAATACTTCCTACCCTCGCCAATCGATTATACACTTCGCGGTCCAGAAGACGGCCTCCGCTGCTTGACTGGATGTGAAGCATAATCTACGCCTAATAAACACATAGCTTTGATCATATGCGCCCGCAGGATTTATTCTCAGGGGAACGGGACAGCCATACATCGACAAGAAATAACTTCTGTGTCAAATCGTTACTGCCACCAAAACTTTTTGAAGAGCGAGGGAGAGCACATTTTTTCAGGAAGAGCCAAATATTAAAGAGTCTCAAAATTGTCAAAAAACATGGTAAATATGCACATTTTAATTGTATGAATCTGTCTGACTAACTTGACCATTTAATTTTTTTTTCTCAGAGGGGCCCACTTGTGCCAAACATAATGCTTTATGAACTGATGATAGCGTTGTGCCGAGTCAACCTACTTGACGCCATTTTTTGAATGAGGTTATAACAAAGAAATCAAATCATAATATTTTCCAAGCTAGATACTAACTGGACTAAGCTCTGTAGGACATTTTATGAAGGAACTTGTGACATTCTGACATTGTATGTATTTTATATCCTTCCAAAATATTGCCATTTTGTTATGGAATACCCTGAAAATTTCATATGCTCGCACCGGGCAAGAAACATACCATGGCTCTCCAATGCGTCCAAATTATTATCAATCACATTTTGTTCCAAATTGCTCAAATCATTGATTATCATGGCCTTCTCCTCTTCTCCAAGTGGAACTTCTTTATCTTGGAGTTCACTATCGATCGTTGGCGCTATTTTTTCTGGAGGGGCTTCTTGGTTTTTATGCTGCTTCAAATTTCCCGCGGGAAAACTCTCAGCATGTTCTTGCTCTTTTTCGATTATATTCCGTATGTTCACTACAGGCAACGTAGGTGTAGGTACATCTTTCTTTTCTTGCGGTAAAGTTGTGTACCGCGGATAATCTGCTCCATACACTCGGTATGGCTGGACACGATTTGTTGGACACCTACAATATGAAACGATCTCAGGCTGGATATGATCTCATAATATTATGCAGATGATAGGCAACTGTATCTGTCTCATAAACCTGACTATGCCGCTGTTGAAAATTTGCATCATTGCTATCTGGTTTCATAATCATGGTCGACAGACATCCGAAAAAGTCGGCAATTATAACATTCTCTTCAAAACACAGTAACTTTAATGATGAGGCAACGATACTATACCTAAGTGTGTGAAACTTATTCATAAGAAATGCGTCCGCAATCTTGGAGGTTACTTTGACTACATACATATGTAACTAAGACTGTTCAATCATCATTTGCAAAATTGAAAACTTTTTATAATGTCGGAAATGTGTTGTCGAATGATAACAAAATCAAACTAACCAACTCCCTGATCGAGGTTGAATATGCTGACTCTCTGTACGGTCCTTGTTTGAGTCAAACGGATACATAAGGTGTATTGACGGTGTAAGTAGATTTGAGAGAACATCTACTCGTATATTGAACATATTACTTGGCTTACGATGAGACCAAGATTCACCTGCTCTGTTTGGTTCATTCGGTTTTACTAAGCAAATAACAATCGGACATGGAAAGCTATTTTTAGAATTGAGGTCCACGATATTAATTTGAGATTTGTTAGTCAAACGTTCCCAAACACAAATAACAGCTTTTAAGAGCTCCTTTTCATATCTGGCATCTACTTAAACACAAGGATTCCTCCTAGTCTTAAAACAAAGTATTTCAGTGCTTTCAAACCTGGAATCAATGATTTGATACTAGCCTCTGATTTTGTTTAATTGTATTTGATTCTTTGACTGTGACTATGCAAGTGTTCTGTCTATGTATGTATTAATCATTTTTAAATGTGTTAACACTAGTTTCACGCCTTTTTGTTTTACTTTATGCTAAGAACTCTTTCCTTTTCTTGTAGTTCTGTGATAAAATGTACACTTTTTTGAACATTGTATACAGGGTGTTTGAGTTCATTGTTACATAACTTTAAGATTCGATAGAAGTTTTAAAATTAATGCATAAAGCCTATATAAACATGGGTCGAAAAATGCGTGGCTTCCGAAATACAGAGTGTTTAAATTTACTTTCTAAAATAGCTTTTTTAACTATTTCGAACAATATTTGATGTATAACAATGAAAATTGGTATACAAGGGTTTTTTGGTACGACAAAACGAACCATGGGCATAGTTTTACGGTAGCCGCTAGAGGGCGCTCTCTACTGTACCTATAGTGTATTAAAATGACAGAAAATTTTTTCTTAGTGCAATTTTTTGCTTTTTGAATAAAAAAACTGATTCTTCGCACTTTTCAACATAAAAAAGCTCTCTTGTGAATTTTCGTTATAGTTAGCCGTTTTTGAGATATTTCGATTTTTAAGGTTCGATGCATTTTTAATTATTTATGATAAAATAACGTTAAAAAGTCAGTATCTCAATAATTTTTAGAAGTAGGCTGTGCCTGCAAATATTTTTGAAATTGAAAGCAGAATAAGGTCAAACGTCAATTAGTTGACTGTTAGTTTTGTTGTCTGTTGAAACCTGAAACGTTTTTTTGCAATTGTAAATGCACGAAATTTAGTTTCTTTTACCTGTTTTTTTTTGTAAGTTTTATAAAAATGCCATTTTTATTCTCCAATCAAGAGTTAGCGGATATTCATTTTGTGTATGGCTTTGTAAATGGAAACGCAGCAGAAGCAGCCAGAGAATACGCACGAAGATTTCCAAACAGACGACATCCAACTCGCTCAGTATTTGTAAGAGTGCATCGCCAAATAATTGAAAATGGTTTTGGAAATCTCCAAAGGGGTCAAAACATAAATGTTCGTCAGCGCAGATTTACCCGTATGATTCTGCGTGAGTTTGATAGAGATCCGACCACATGTGTTAGGAGAGTTTCTGATGCCTTGGGAATTTCAGCAAGCCATGTTCACCGTGTTCTTAGAAATGACCATAGACGTCCTTACCATTTGCAACCTGTGCAAGGACTACAGCCAGAGGACGGAGAACGAAGAATCACATTTCGTCAGTGGATTCTTGATAGAACTGATAATAATAGGGAGTTTTTAAGTAACGTTTTATGGACCGATGAGTCATGCTTCACTAGACGTGGAGTGGTAAATTTTCATAATCAACATATTTGGTCGCATGAAAATCCGCATGCAGTTTGGGAAAGAAAATTTCAGCATGAATTTAGTGTGGACCCTACCTTTTGCCTGCAAGGTTAAATGATGCGACCTTCTTGGAATTTTTAAAGGCTGAACATCTAAATATGTGGGATGATGTTATGTTAGATTTAAGAAGATTGGTCTGGTTCCAGCTTGATGGTTGTCCAGCTCATTAGTCGATAATAGTTAGAAACTGGTTGGACGAAAATTAACCAGAAAGATGGATCGGCCGTGGAGGACCAGTCGCCTGGCCTCCACGATCCCCTGACCATTAGATTTCTTTGTGTGGGGATTTCTAAAAGAAAAAGTGTACCAGACTCCCGTAACCACAAGAGATATGCTAATAGACAGAATCAGGAATGCATGTGATGAAATAATGCCTTATTTGATAATGCTATACCACGTTCGATCATTCGTAGATGTGAATTGTGTATTGAACAATTGGGTTTACATTTCGAGCAACTACTTTAGATTTTGTATGTTTGTCCTAACTATCCAATAGAATTTTAGTTGTAAATAATTAATTTAATTTGTTAAAAATAATATTGGAAAATTACACAAATTAATATTGTTTTTTTGTGTTTATTTGGAGTTAGGAATTATTGCTGTGTTTAAAAGCACAATCTAAACGATCATCTTAATTACTTGTAATGCCCAAATCGAAAAAGAAAAGTAAACGAAAAATATTATTTTCCCATAAATAATTAAAAATACATCGAACCTTAAAAATCGAAATATCTCAAAAACGGCTAACTATAACGAAAATTCACAAGAGAGCTTTTTTATGCAGAAACGTGCGAAGAATCAGTTTTTTTATTCAAAAAGCAAACAATTTTCGGTCATTTGAATACACTACAGGTACAGTAGAGAGCGCCCTCTAGCGGTTACAGTAAAACTATGCCCAAGGTTCGTTTTGTCGTACCAAAAAACCCTCGTATATCAATTTTCACTGTTATACATCAAATATTGTTCGAAATATTTAAAAAAAACTATTTCAAAAAGTAAATTTAGGAAGCCACGCATTTTTCGAACCATGTTTATATAGACTTTATGCATTAATTTTAAAAGTTCTATCGAATCTTAAAGTTATGCAACAATAAACTGAAACACCCTGTATATGTAGCCCCGGTTGGAATGGAACAACAGCATTTACTGATTGCCCGCCAGGTAAAAATAAAGGCTTTTTATTATTATTATCAATATGATGTATTTTCTAAACAAAATTATAGAATACAAAAGCCTAAAAATTACAAGCATACAACAAAACAAAACCTCAAGGGCGAGTGTTCACAATAATTGTGCTATGCAACTCAACCCGTGGTAAAACCGCGTACAGACCGAGATTCCAAGGCAAGCCAACATTCGAATCGGTGCGTACGGCGCGAGCCAACATAAGCCAACAGTTTCCAAGGTCTTCGTTGGCGTTCGATGGCGTTCGCTCTTTGATCGGTACATCAAAGGGAGGTTTGACTTGGTCTGGACAGGATTTATTGCGCTTCTAATATATTTAGTCCTTTGTCGGCATTAGCATCGAACTTAACCCGATGCGGTCCAACTCGAAACTAAATTTAGGGGTAGGCTCATCTGTGACCGTGTAAAAATTTCAGCTCTAAATATTGTACACAAGAGTATGAAGAAATGTCGAAAAAATTTTGTTTTCTTCGCAAAAAAAGGTGATAGACACCTCCGCTTTGTTTTAGAATGTGTATAACAATGTATGTTTTTCGAATATCGTAGCAAATCTGTTCAATTACTTGCAAATACGAAATGTTTGAATTTGTTTAGAAAAAAAAACGTAACCCTTCGTTTTTCCCATAAAACTAACAATTATCTTTCAGAATGGCTTGTGATTCATGTCGGCAGGGTAAATTCGTGTATTTTGCTATAAAATGCACTTTGAACAAACCCTGTATATTGCTCAATAAACTAGTAGTGATGGCCGGAAAGACAGGTGCTTTGGAGTAAATAATTATAAATTCTCAAAAACTACTACGAGCCCCTTCCCACTTCAGTTGGCTCAACTATTGAAATCTTAGATTTTTTGTTATCAAACACAAATAATAAAAATGTAGCAGGGTGTTATAGGTTTAAAATATTAACAATGAATATTTTGATAATATATAGTAGAAAACACCAACTTTATCACTCCCTAATCAAATTTACAGCATAAAAATAACACATGTTGCAATTACAGCATATCAACCTATTTTCATTTCAATGCAAAATAAGTCTATAACGCATAGGTGGCTGTGAAAAATAAAAGTGTCATGGCTTTTATTTGTTTTTATTAATCACAGCTGTCAGAATACGTTGAAAATAGTTTTGGGTAGTAAAGGTTTTCAAAATGGGTAGAGGAAAGGTTATTAGTGAGAAAATTCGGTTACTGATAATTAAATTTTTCAATTCTGGGAAATCAAACTCAGAAAATGCAACTTCGTTAGACTTATCGCGGTACAGTGTGAGAAATATTGTTAAAAGATGTAACGTAACTTTTTCAGTTAATATTAAACCACGATATGTGAAAAAAAGTAATATCACAAATGCCGACCGAAGAGCATTAAGAAGAATAAGAGTGAAAAACAGGCGTGCCAATTATTTACAATTAAGTGCTCTGTGGAGTGACGCTGTTGGAAGGAGAATTTCGAGGTCCACAACTCATAGAGAGGCCCACAAAGTGGGATTTAGCACTTGCAAGGTAAGTTTTCTCATAAAAAAAGTGAAGTGAAGACCCTGAAGTTGCACAACCTGTTTATACGCCAAAGAAAAGCCACTATTAACTCCACTGCAAAAGAAAAATCGGCTTAGATGGGCTAAAGAACATAGACAATAGACACCTCAACAATGGTGTGCAATACAATGGAGTGATGAGGCCCGATTCGAAGTTTGTGTTGGTGACAGTCGCAGTAGAGTTATTCGCAAAAAAAAATGAAGCATTCCATGTTGACTGTATGAAGAGAAAAGTGAAATTTCCAGTATCCATTATGGTCTGGGGCAGTATGTCATCAAAAGGAGTAGGAAAACTTCTTTTTATTGATGGAAATGTTTATACAAACAAATATTTGGTAATTTTAGAAGAATCGCTTTTACCAGTGATGGAAGAATGTTTGACATCCGGCCAAGATTTTGTGTTTCAGCAAGATGGTGCAGCATGCCATACCTCAAAAAAGGCTATAAAATGGATGGAAGAAAATAATGTACCAGTTTTGAAATGGGTTTCTAGCAGTCCATATCTGTCACCTATTGAAACTTTGTGGCACGAAATGAAAAAGGTTCTACGACAACATCCTGCTCGTACAATCACCGAACTGAGTCAAAAGCTTCAAGAAATATGGGATTGTTTTACACCAAATTTTTGCCAAAACTTGCTTAACACTATGCCCCAAATGATTTGAGCCGTAATAGAAAATAATGGTAAGATGTTACCCAATGGTAATATTTCCATTATTGCTTTGTTAACTTCGCGCATTTATTCGCACATTGTTTATTTGTTCAGATATTCTGTTAGTTATAAGTATAAGTGATTTTCTACGAGCAGAGTGTATCTAAAATGTTTTTGAGAAAATAAATTGTTTTAGAAATAAATGGTTTCGTCATGTTTAGTTTATAAAGGCATATTTTGGTACAAATCTTGAAGTGGGCCAACTGAAGTGGGAAGGGGCTCGTAATCGACTCCAATTTTGTTGTGCCTATTTAAACGTAAGAAAATTTTGGATTTGAATAATTTCAAGTAGCCACGTGAAATCATCGTCGCATTAGCAACAAGTGCCTAAACCTTAATTTTGCCTCGGTCTTCGGCCATAACTTTTTTACTATTAGTGGGATCATTTTAAGTGAAGTCTCATTCTGTAGGTCTCATAAATACCTAAAAATCTTATTAGAAGAGTTTTTTCGTTCGTGCCAACACTTTCGATTGAATCCCAAAAAACACGTTTCTCATTCTTTGTTGTCGAATAAAATGTTTTCCCAAAAAAATTGGTATATCCATTTTGCATCAATAAATCCAGACTTTACCATTATTTCGGGAAAATTTGCTAATATGATTTTAAACTATATGCCGAGTATCGGTGCATCTCCAATAAGAGTCTTAATTTTTGATACCTTTTAATCACTCCCATTCCTCTACTATACAACGTTTTACACCTCTTAGCGTACAGCAGTTTGTCCACAGCTCTGAAAAAGTCATTTTTGCATAATGTCAACACAGTATGCAACGTCGCAGGATGGGTGTCAGGGAACAGTTGCATAAGTCGTAGGAAGTAGAAGAAATGACTGGAAGATGTTTGGAGTGAGGATTGTGGTCCGAGTGGTCTGTCTGGTCTCGCTGATGGGTCGGGTCCAGATTGCTGAAACACACATATTTAGATATAATGTGATGTGCCACTCTCATAACGGCAGTGGCGTATAGCCGGGGGGGAAGGGACGGTAGAAAATAGTAATCACGTTGTGGGCAAACTTGCCAATTATCAGACGAAGTATTACTTCGTTCTGACGGACTAGAAGTAACTTAACAAGGAGTCCAGAAAAGTAGAGTTCTAGGTCCTAGCTACGAACCTAGAAAGACTGAATCATCTTTATCTTTTTTCTTGCTTTGCGATTAAATACTTATCGATATGTGTGATAAAATTTCTGTATGGGCTTATAGATAGTAGCCACAATCATTGTAAACCGGTCTTTGAAGCTTTATCAACCGCATGGAGAGATATACTGTGCTTCTTATCTTTCAAACAAGTCAGCAAGCTGGAACTCAGGGTAATGAAATTGATACATAAATACTACTACGTAGAGGAGGCTGTTAAAGATTTCAAAATAGCGGACAACGTCATTCAGGAACATTTTTCAAATAAAATGGGGGGTCGTGTAATAACTCATTTTGAAGCTCCTAATGATTACTTTCTAAAACCACTGTGTTCAAAAACTGCGAACTGACAGGCTGTCAAAGTTGAGCGTTTTCGTACATTGAATCATTTACAATTCAACAACCAATCATAAAAATGCTATAGTATATCAATTTTCTTCTCTTCTCTATCCGAACCTGTAATAAAATATGAGGCATTCTGAGAATCTTGTCAGTTTGTCATTTTTTTTAAATCTGAATGTCCCTTATTTTATTGGTCATTCCGATAAGTTATGAGTATTTACGATTTTGAAAATATCATGATCATAAAAGACGGTAATACAATCGCCATGATTCTTTGACCCATCCCCCGAAACCAATTCCCCCTCTCCCCGAACTCAAGTTCAATATACGAAACTGCATAACTGTTTTGCGATGAACCATCATGGTGTCATGTCACATAAGTAGTAGGCATCATCACTACCTAAATTTCTCGAAATCGAACGCAAACATGAAAAATGTAATTAATGATAATGTCAAAATCTGTAGGAGTACCTAATAGCACTTTTAATAATAATTCGGAATAGGTAGAAGGACTAAACATGAGACCTGTTTTGGAACAGAATTACGATTACGTAGTCAGTATGTTACAGTTCATTTTTAGTCTACCATAAAAAGAAAGTGTAACACCACCACCCTTCCCCCAAAATGAAAGCTTCGAAGCAAAGGTAACCAAATGTAGGAAAACCCAGATGTAAATCAGTACCCGAAGGTAGAACCCTCGAACAATGAGGGTTCACAGGCTGCTCCTCATCAACCTGGTATTACAGTTTCTTTTTATGGTCGACTACAAATTACTCCAGCATCACACTGTAACACCAACCCATTTCCTGAATTATCATAAAAAAAAGGAAAGGAATTTTTCTTCTTAAAGATCATTTCGGAGTATTAATGCAGACAGTTCCCCTCAGCTCGATGGTTTTATGTGTAGTTGCAACAACGATTAAATCCCCAAGAGGGTGAGAAAAGGGCCCCGACAACAAAATTCACCAATGGAGGCCGATTTATATTAAAAATTGCCACAACCCGTCAAGTTTCTACCAGTAGGTGTGAAATTGATTCACTGACGTAGGTTGTGGCGGTTGAAATACTACACGAGAGCACAGGAAAAAGCTGGTGTTACAGTTAATTTTTGAAGTCATGTGGATGTTACAAGTCTACCACGCTTGTGCCGCCACTTTGACAGTTCTTGACAAATCGCATTAAATTGGTATTTTTCTATAAAAGTGCACGGGTTTCTATACAGTCTTTATGCGCCAGACCATTCCCGATAAGGATTGTTTATGAGGATTAAAAAAATCCGTTAAGTTGAAAAATGCAGATCCTTTTATTGATAGGTTAATACCATATATTAATCATCAGCTCTGTGCTTCGACCTGGGCAGTTGTGAAGTATTTTTGGTTTTATTATACTTGTTGCTTTGTTGCGTCCTTTAAGGCTTACTAACAAGATGTTGATGGAAAGGGCTGACCGACACTTTAACTTTGAGTATTATATACATGGATTTTGAATCTACAAGTTGTATGAAAGGTATTTAGTTTCGCGCTATTAATATTTACGTGTTCTCATTTTAGTGTAAGTGATTTTAATGAGGAAACTCAAAACGCCTCCGAAAATCTATGAACATCAAATCAATTGAATAACTTCCAAATCTTTCTATTGGATAAATATATCCGCAAAGTTGGGGCTTTCCTTTACACGGAGTATAGATCTGGAAAATATAAGCAGTTTTTCCTAGTAACATATATACCAAAGTTTGAAGATAACCGAGATATTATGCAAATCAATCAAATCTAAGCCAAACCTAATACGCTCCTGTATGTCGTTCAGATGAAAAATGAGAAAACACGACGCACGTCAGTACTAAACCTAGGTGCCGGCAGCGTAGGTAAACAAATCATTTATTTACCAATCGGTTCGAAATAATGGCACACTTGTACATCAATATCGATCTTGTCGATATGATTTTGATTTGTGGTGAGTGCCTTCAAAATGCTACCGCGGCTTCGCGAGTTTCACAGACATTAGATTTGTTTACCTTGTGTAAAGTGCTAGGGATACAGGTCGTTTGTAAGCACTAGGAAAGTGGCTAGACAAGTGCAAGTCACAAAGACTGCTGCGTTATGATGGATTGTACCCTTTTGGACAAGCTGCAAAAGTGCGTTTTTGCAGAAAATAATCCGGAGTTTTAGTTCAAGTCACGGACGAATCAACCTTCATGCGTAACACTCATGGGAGGTTATTGGAAAATCTTCACGTAGTCCGTCGGTTACATTTTCTACAAACATGGACCTTCATGGTAAATGGTTGATCATTGGAGCTTTTATTTTCCCGAATTGGCTGGCTGGTTCACAATACTTTTTACGAAACATTTTACCAACGGCGACAACTTCGAACAGTACCTACTTATGTGACACTGCCGTACTTGTAGTTTCTCTGCAAATGAACTTTTTAATTTTTTCTTTTTTTACTGTTTTGCTACTGTTTCACTACACATGAGCTTTGTTACTTCAAGCGAAGTTGTTTCTGAAAAGGAAGGCCTCAACTTATAGGCACTTGTTTTTATCTAAGAATTTTTTCGGACGATAACAACTATTTAGAAAAACCGAGTAGAGCTCAAGCAAGGTGCACCATCATTTCCAATATCAGGCACTGCGTCATTTGTGCTGTTTGATGAAAATAATTTTCCATATTTTTCACCTTCCAAAATAACGAATTAAGCAGAATGTTTCTGCTCTTCTTCTACTGTTCCGTTAGTAAATATTTAATTTTATTTCTTTTCTTTATTTACTTTATTAACAATAATCGAACGATCCATATCTCAACGCAGATAGTAAGTATTTCTACCCTGTCTTACACGAGTACATCCAGCACGATCGGTTATTTGATTATCCATTGCAGAGAAAAGAATGTACACCAATGTACTCGTTTGTCCCTTTGGTGGGTGTTGGTAGCCAAATGTACCCAAAAGTATGCATTAAAAAATTAGGTAAGTTTGGCTGTCAAATTCTTTGGTTGACTCATGTAGTTAAACGTAGTACGCTATCAACATATTTGTTCATTATTCTACGTGATTACTGTCATGATCGCGATACATTTGGTTCGCTGTAACGTTTCTGTACAAAAGCTACGCTGGGACATTTAGCGGTTTTCGTGCTCTGTCGCACTATTTGTGTAGTATTTTACAGTTTTAGTTCTTTTTTATTCACTTTGGGCGAGTCGCCTGTTTCTTCCGTCGCTCTCTGTCTATTTATGTTCCGATTAGGATTAGAAATAATTACTTACAAGCCTGTACCATGAAAGATTTTACAAGAACAGACACACATGCATACCAACCATTTGCCTACTTGAAGCTGGATCACAACTTTTAGAAGTCCCTGGTGTAAGTCCGTGAGGTTGCTGCGTCATCCAAGGGCAAGACATAACTGGCTGACTGTAGCAAGTTTTCGGTTGGCAAGTTTCTTTGTTACAACTGCTAGAGCTTGCGCCTTGATTCATCTATCCTAAATCAGTATTTGATCAGCGATGTGTAAGTAGTATACATGTCTCTGAACATTGCTTTGAAGAAAGCGATCCCTACTAAATATATTAAAAGTGCACAGTGGGATAATTGTAAATAATAAGAAGCGTCGAAAAATACCAGAACTGTTGTTTTCAAAAACAGAAATGTCACTAATCTGTGCTGCTTTGTAAGTGTAAAAGTAATAAAACGTCATCAAGTAAGAAATTAAGAGGATATAGTATTATTTCATACATAGAAGAATTCTGTGCAACGGAGGAAAATTTTACTTTCACAACACTTAGGCACGATTTTACTATTGATCCACGGGAATCAAAATTTGCGCCTATGGCTCAAATTCGACCAATGAGAAGGCGTTTTTCAAGTTATGTATCTAATCAATTTGGTCGATTTCTTGTAAAATTTCTCTCAAATTAGAGAAAAAGTATACGATTTCCAATATTAAATCAAGAAATGCTTCATAATCATCCAGCTTAGCATTAAAAACCTACTTTTTCACTTGAGCCCGGACGCAAAACTCGACTTATACTAAAATTTGGCTAATCAAAAAGTAGGATTTGTGATATTGCCGCAAGCTGGACCAATTAAAAAGAATGACAACAAAAAATTACAGCAATTACTAAGCATTTTATTAAAAATAACAGTGCCACTACATATCTGAGACAGATAATTTTGAAAAAAATGGCGTTAAGTAGGTTGACTCTGCACTTCCCACGGAACGTCCTTATTAGTACATAAAGGAATATGTCCAGCACACACTCGACCTTCCGAGAAAAAATTCAGTCAAACAGGTCCATACAATTAGTCCATAGACACTCTATTCCTGCCCTACCGGTAGTGCATCTAGAAACTTCGCTTCTCCCCAGAGCACAGAAAACACTATGCTGTTGCGCGGCAGAAATACATGTGATTCCATATCAGAACACTCATTTCGGTCGGCGCACGTCGCCAGCAGCAGCCGCGGTCGATAGGTGCGCGATTCGTCTCCCGAGAATATTTTTTAGGACTAATGTTGAAAGTGTATGCATGTTTCAAAATCAAAAAATTGAGACCCTCCCCACCCTACCTTTTCGTTTTAGGCCTTTTCTCTGCTCGCACAGGACCGATTTTCAAAAACTACAAAGCTTTTGCTTCCTTGGCATAGTAGTAATATTGTGTAAGAATCTTCTCGAAATCAGAGCGGTACCTCTCAAATTATAGGCTGTGATAAGATAAGCAAACAGACATACGGAAATGAGTGACATGGTTCTTCGTGGTGCAAATGTCATATAACATACAAAAAACATATCTCATGTTCGGAAATTTTTGCGATTACAATCTATCCTTCTCCGCCGGTAGACGTGAGAAGTAAAAAGGATATATTTTTAACAATTCATAAATATGTCCATTGAATTGCCCTATAATGTACGATAGTTTGTAGATCCTCATAAGTAATACTATAAGTCCATCTAATTTTTCTACTTGTTATCAAAGGTATTGTAATTTTTGGTAACAACAGCTGTCAAGTTTTGCCGCGGGATCCTATTCATGATAAACGTATGCATGTAACTTATGCTCAGGGTTGTATTTAGAAATAATCCTCTCTTAAAACGAATAAAAAAAATTGTTTTCACCGTACATTTTACTTCTCCCAGGTAAGCACTGACACTGTTATTTTCAATGAAATGTTCACTAATCGCTGACATGTGGCATAGATCCAATTGCATTGAATTTTTTTCGAAATTATATATCAAATCGATCGCAGTGTGTATCAATTGAAAACAATAAATCTAGTTTTCTAGAAATCTCGTCTGGAGTACCCCAGGGGTCTGTTTTGGGTCCCTTGTTGTTTTTGGTATATATTGCTGATCTGCCTAAGGCTGTGAGTTTTTGTGAACTCCAGTCTTTTGCGGATGATACTCAACTGGTCCATTATTTTGATACTGATGATATGGAAATGGCACAGACATCAATAAACCATGATATTCAAAAAGTGTATGACTTCTCGAATAACTACAACCTGTCAATAAATCCTGGTAAATCCAGCCTGTTATTTTTTTGTTCGGATCGTAGGAGAGAAGAAATTAAAAGTCGATTAACTATTAAAATTGGATCTCAAAGACTGTACCCGGTTGACGAGGTTAAAATTCTTGGCGTGGTAATCGATTTCAAACTTAGATTCACCAGTCATGTTAAAAATCTTTTGAAGAAAACCTACTTGAGACTGAGATCATTATATGCCAATAAAGCAATTTTCAATTATAAGCTAAGGAAAAAACTGTGTTCATCTTTGGTTATGCCGATTTTCAACTACTGTGATATTTTATATTATCCGTGTCTCAATGTTGTTACTAGAAATCGGATTCAAATTGTGCAAAACAATTGTGCTAGGTTCACCTGCGGTTTAAGGCGCTTTGACCATGTTTCTGGTAGTCTTATTGAATTAAACTGGCTGATAACAAAAAATATTGTCAAATATCATTACCTTGTTTTTATTCATAAACTAATACTTATGTCAAAACCTATATACTTAAGAGAAAAGCTGATCTTTAGGCGAAACATTCATCATAGACATATTAGATTTTCAGATTTGATAACTACACCTATTCACTCCACAACTTTATTCCAGCGTTCTTTCACGTACAGGGCTTCAGTGTTATACAATGCCTTGAGTCCTGAATTCAAAACCATGTCCTTAAATTGCTTCAAGAAAGCTGTCAAATCTCATATTTACTTGGATCCATAGTCTTAATTAGATTGCTATAGATATATTGTTAAATGATTCTTCACTTCCCTTGTGTACATGTAGCAAACCTTGGTGCAACATGTACGTATGTAATGTGTGTATATGTATGTATGTATGTACATGTGTATGTATATATGTATATTTTGTTTGATATCTGCTACTTAACAACTTGTTTTTTTTTGCATGGGTGGTTAAGTGTAAGAGTAGCATGTTGCTAAACTTCGCCACCATATGCAACTCTTGTTTCTGTATGAAGTACAGTTTAAATAAAGACGATTATTATTATTATGTAAATACAGAATAGTGTGTCACGTTTGATACACGCTTCGAACAGGGCACAAAGCCTTCTTTTTTGATTTGTTGCATTTGCGACTATATCGCAAATCCGTATTTTTTATTTGCGTCTGTATAGGCCGCACATTTTTCGTCTGAGCTCAAACATAAAAATTAGGTTTGTCTAAGTAAACTAGGTGATATATAAAGTATTTATTGATTCAGTTATGGGAATTAGGGGCCATCAAACACAAATCGTATTCTCTAATTTGAGAGATATTTTACAAGTAATCGACCATTGGTCGAATTTGTGTCATAGGCGTTCATTTTGTGCCCCTGCAGGGCCCTGTGAGACAGAAAAAGTTTCTCTCGAAGAGGCAGAATAAGAAGCCCGGAAGGAGGCCTTCATGAGTGCTAGCGGCTGGAAGTTGTACTGATAACGCTTGATACTGGAAGAGATTATTGAATGCTTACAGTTCAAATATCTGTGTTTAAGTGATAATATTTAAAAATTATTAATGCAAGTACATGTAACATGAAATCGATTGCAAATTAATGTGTATGGTTTAGAAGCAGCAAATTAAATTTTAATAGAAAACTACATGTTATCCCAGTAACAACATCCTTTTCAATTATTAAACGTTTCCCTTGTATTAGAGTTTTCAGAATAACGGCACAAAATATCTGTTCAAAATTTAGAAGGAATAGTGTATAAAAGTGTGGTTGAATTGTTCAGGTTCCTGCAAAGAAATTATCGCTCGTGGTGGCTTAATTACGATCCCTTCTTCCAGATCACGCTACCACACATGGCTCTAAGAAGTATCCTCCAAGAGACTCACAATAGAGTACTACTTCTAGTGTTAGGGCTCGTAGTGTACTAATAATTTGTGATGGTGATGATGAACATGATTCATGAGCTTGTATAATCGCAGCTTGAATTTGTACACAAAATTCACAAGCTTTTAATCTAGCAAATATTGTTTTGCTTAAAAAGATACAGCCCATGCTTTGACATTCGTGAAACGTTCGCAAGATAAAGTTATCTGCAAATTTTGTACTTGATATCATGGACCTATAAGCGTGAAGATGATCCAACCAGCGTTCTTCTAATTAGAATTTTTGAGATTTCTCCAGAAGTGTCCAAGATATTAGGCCTACAATGCAGTATTCTCAAAAAAAAATGTTTTCTTACCTCACAATTCTAGCAGTTTTGATAATATTATTGCAATCCGTCCACGTGGATACTGTCTTAAACGATACTGCCGAAAGTTCTAACAATCCGTTTTTGTCAGATCACTGTTTTGATTACCTGATATTGTTGATTGACAACACAGGTGACATTCACTTGTACAAATTTTGTCAAACATATATAGGTTGATAAGGATTTTAAAATCTAGTGAACGTTAATCTGTAGTTGATTCCATACAAATAAATATTGCAGTTTGAAGCTTCTTCAAATCTGCTCTGAAAAATACTCTAATTTGTTTTTTTGAATAATGTCACTAAAACAGGACTTCTTTTAAGGAATCTGCATGTTGCTAGCGCCAAAATTGTTCAAAAATTTTTCTTTAAACGAATTCCAAAGAGGTGTGCTTCACTCCAGTCAGTCATTCCAGGTTTTTTTGGGTCATTCTGGATAAAAAAGAATCTAATGAACGTTTTTCTAAAGTTTTGGAAGCGGCAAATAAACAATCTTTTACTCTGAAAAATAATACGATCGAACAGATACTTCCTGGACTATCTACGAGGGATGTCTATTAAGTTTTGCATATGGAAATAAAACAAGACGGTAGGTAGTTTTAAATAACTTTATTGTTTTTAGAAGTATTCTTCAACTGCTTCTTCTGGTGACTGGAACCTTTGACCACGCAGTCTAGTTTTAATTTTCGGGAAAGTAAAGAAATCGTTAGGACTTAGATCGGGACGATATGGAGGATGGTCCAATAATTCCACGTCTTCTGCCTTGTTTTTGGGGCTGTGTGCGAGATTGCATTGTCTTGGTGGAGGTTGATTCTTCTTCCGGGGTTGATTTTTCGAAGCTCGGTGATGACTTTTGGCAAACAAATGGTGGTATACCAATCCGCAGTAACAGTTCTTTGCTCATTAAGAGGAATTGTTGCAATATGACCTGCTTTTGCCACAAGTCGCGACCATCTTTTTCGAAACACTCCGAGCAAGGATGACTTTTGTTGGCTTTTCTTCACCTTGGAGCACCCAAACAGCCGACTGTTTATTTTCTCGTTCATAACAGTAAATCCACAAATCTTCACCACTAACAATGCTGTACACATTTTTTGAGTTTCCGGAATTGATACGGTCAAGCGTTTTTTGACACCAATTAACCCTAGCTGCTTTCTGCTCTTCAGTCAACAGGTGGGGTATCCAACGAGAAACTAATTTTCCTACTCCTAATTCTTCATGTAAAATTTTTTGAATTGAGGTCTTTGAGATCTTCAAGGACGCCTCAATCTCGCGATATGTCACATGTCTATCTTCAATGATGAGTTTGCGCACAGCATCGACGTTTTCCTGGGTGACTGCCATTTTTGGTGCACCCACCCTGGAATCGTCGCTAAGACTCACCCGTCCACGTTTGAATTCTCCATACCAACGGGAAATTGTCGACTGATGAGGCGCTTCGTTGCCAAAAACAGACAGTAACTCAGCAAGGCATTCTTGTTGCGATAATTGTCTCTGAATGTTGTAATGAATTATGGCGCGAAAATGTTCTCGGTTGAGTTCCATTTTTGTAATGACTTGGTGACACTTAAAAATTCACTGTAGTGAGAACACTGCACGTGTTGAGAAACTTTGAATTTAAGTTTGCTAAAGAGTGAGGTTAAGATTCAGTACTGACGTTCGATCCGCGCGGCCTAATATGTTTCTATATGCAAAACTTAAAAGACATCCCTCGTATACAAATCCTAATAATGATACAGCTGCTAGTGTGTTATACGTGCGATTCTAATATTTTTGTCTGTAACATTTTTGTGTGCAGATTCTCTAACAGATTGTACCTCAATAAAATATCGAGAAGTTTTGCTAGTATCTGCTTTAAACCGATTGGAATCTAGAGTGATTGGAAATCAAAAACAATATTTAAGTAATGATCCTGAAGAAGAATGAATCGTAAAGTTATGGACTATGAATATGTACCAAGTATAGAATCTTCAGCCATATTTCATTCGAACGTGGTATCTTTAAGGCCCGTGTCGTCAGCCGTTCCTACAATTCTTGGAGCCTTTATGGCCTCCTTGATTGTCATATTCTTTTCTCTCCGTCAAAAATGTCTAGATTGCATCTGTTCTGTGTCAGCGTCAGCGCTCACCTATTGTGAAGATGTTTTCTCTTTAAGTTGTAGGAAATTTGAGGCTGATAGAAAATTATATAAATCAAAAGCATGTACAATTTGATGCAAATAGATATTTGTGACATAACCTCAAAGTAGAGCGCTGACACGGAAAAGTAGAAAACTATAACAATCAAGGAGGCCATAAAGACGTCCTACAATTGTAGGATAGACGATATGGGCCTAAAATTCGCAGGCCGTAGAAATCTTTATAGCTGAACATACTTGAATTGCTAATTTATTTTATTTAAATAATCGGCTTGGACTATACATTATGCATTATACGAGGAGGTACCCAAAAATAACCGCATAATAGCATTGCAGTGGGCGGAGCTTGTGTACTAGAGAAGTGGGACACGTGTATTAGTTGTAGTGGACAGTATTTTGAAGGAGATAAGGTTAGTTTGTGAAAAAGTTGAAACAAATTTTTTTTGGGTACCTCCTCGTATATGGACAGCTTTCATATGTTACGCTCTGGTATTTTCGGGCGTCATCGAGTACCCCGATGGTGGGGTCCCAATCGCTGTTGCTAAGACTCGGATTGGACCTTCCGCAGGTAATGGATATCGCGTGTCTTTGAGTATTTGGTATAGCTAGAGTCATATAAGTAAAAATTATGCGGAAAATATGCGATATTGTGTCTAATAGCTGAGTATACTCGTAGTACTACCATGACCACGGATTACTAAATAATAACACGTCTCACTGTCACCAAATATGGGATATTTACATTCCCAAATCCCGTCCAACCCCCAACCCTCTGAAACACAAAAAGCTAACTGTGAGCGATAATTATTTTTTTGTTTTCTGGCCCCTAGTCCCCTGTCTCTGGACCGATTTTCAAAAACTATAAAGCTTTTTCGTCCTTGGTTTAATAGTATTTGACTGGTATTTTTCAAGGTATCGACATAGTTCTTATTGATCTACGTGTCATGCATCATCCAAAAAACAAAATATCTGATTTTCAAAATTTTTAGCGATCACATTACTTCTTCGCCAAAGGAACGGAAGATAGAACGAGACACTGGATAAATACTCTGAAAATATCGCTGTTAATGGCGTTATTTGCTATTGAACCTATTCAATTTGGCGAACAGTCAAAAAAATCTAATTGGTAGTTAAATTTGTGCAGGCTGGCAATAAATTAACCAACCACCGGAATATTTCACACCTTGTCGAGTAAACCACTTTAAATTTAGATAAGTTTTGCACTTAGGAAAAATAAACAATTACACAGCAATGACGCAGATGTTAAGGATATGTATATGTTGTGTGAGCATCAGCCAATTAAACTGCATTGATTGGTTTATTGAGATTCTCAGGAAGTTATCAGCATCGTTATTAGTCGTTAACAGGTTACTGAGGTTGGATCCGGATCTTATCGAGTTTTCATTACTAGGAGAACATTTTCAAAAACAGTTGTAACGTGTGGTGTAAGCAGAAACAGCTGCGGTAGGGAAGACTGCGCGGAATTCCCGGAGTTTGGTTGATTGAAAGTTATGTTCAACTTTTGATGAAAGCAGTCAGTGTTTTGAGCTACTGATTTTTGAATGTAAGGTATTAAAGAAACACACTACTTGTCCTATTATGTCGTATATGCAAATTATTTCAATGAAACATTGTTGATGCATACACTGGAAATCCGAAATTCTAGAATAATCTAGAATCTAGATTGACGTCTAATGAATTGTCGGACCTCTATACTACTACAAATTTTGGCATTAAAATTGCATTTAGCTGTTTTGTGGACGCCTTTTACTTTCCACGCCTACTGATGGGGAAGTATTGCAATCCCGAAAATTTTCGAACATGAGATATGTTTTTTGGATGATTTTGGATGTTTTCTTTCACAACGTTACTGCAATAATATGCCAAGGATACAAAAGCTTTGCCATTTTTGAAATTCGGTCTACGGCCGGCAGAGAAAAAGGACTAAAACGACAATGGTAAAAATTATTGAAACTTCGTTTTTTGACGTTTCAGAGCATCCTTGTCATTTTTGAAATGAATTCTAGAGTAAAAAAACATGGGGGTGAAGGTTGTAGAGGACATATCTCACGTATCATAGATTTTTTCCCAGCAGACGGATCGCACTTACCGGCCGCGGCTGCTGAGTGTTGTGCTGTTCTGGTATGGTATTATATGTATTTCTGCCCCATCACAGCATAGTCCTTCCTATGCTCTGACCGCGCTTCCACGCCTGATCGAGAAGAGGCGACGTTTCCAGATGCACTACCGGTAGTCTATGGACAAATTGTATGGACCTGTTTGACTGACTTTTTTCTCAGAGTGTCTAGTTCAGGGTTTCCCATCCTTTTTTTATTTTGTTGAGGCTCCCCGGAAAAAAAATTATTTTCATACCCCCCCTTTACTTTTTCAATAAATACAAAAAAAAACGCACATTATATAGGTACAGAGACTTTTATTTTAATTCTAATAAAGAAACTTTGAAAGTTTAAATAAACTAATAAATGTTTTCTTTATCGAAAAACTTGAATAAAATAGGAGTAGGTACTAATGAGACACTTGAGATTGCATGTTCTGTACCAGTTGGTTGATTCTAGGTTCTGTTTTTGCCAGAGCTATCATCAGGTAGCTATCGACATCAAGACAATTTCGCTGTCTAGTTTTAGTTAAAACTAGAGCAGAAAAGCCTGTCTCACATAAATAAGTTGAAGAAAAAGGAACTAGTATTCGTAAAGCAAGAGAGGCAAGTGCCGAGTTGACAGGCAATCTTTTAATCCAAAAGTTTTCCAATGTTAAAAGATGGAAGTCATCTTTCATAGACGAATCAGCCTTCATTTCTAGAAATTCTTCCTGAACTTAATCTGGTAATTGTGACACATCGACTCTGAATTGATGTCTCGATAGTATCGGCGAAATTCGTCTTGCAGCGCTTGCAAATGAGTTTTTATGCCAGCTTTTAAATTTGCATCCAGTATCTTGTTTTTAATTGCGCTTCGAACATCCGAGAAAGAGATATAACAATTTCAGAAGACACTTTTTGATTCCCATGTTGAAGCTTTGATATGAACCCCTGAATATAATCATATTTGCTTATTATAATGTTGTTTCTGCCCTGAAGATCAAGGAGTAATATATGTCAGTTAAATAAGCCGACCTCCATTGAAATGTGTCATCTTTGAACATTATCAAGACATCGTGTTTTTCTTTGAACTTAAGTAAAGAATTACCTCTTCTTTTTTCAATTCATAAATGCGAGCCAACATGTTGCCTTTGTACAGCCAGCGTACTTCTGTATGGAACAGAAGAACTTGTGATCAGAATAGAGATCCTCGCAAAGTAAACTAAATAACCGATTGTTCAAAGCGCTGCTCTTGATGTAGTTTACAATCCTTATAGCCGAGTCCAAAGTCTGACGTAATTTCTGTGGCAATGTTTTGGAAGCTAAAGCATGCCGATGAATAACATAATTTGTAACCATTGCGGATTTTTTTTTCCTTGAGATTTTTAGCTAAGCCCGATCGTACACCTTTCATTGAAGGTGCGCCATCTGTGCAGAGTCCAATGAGTTTCTTCCAATCCAAATAATTTTTTTCAACAAAATTTCATATTGAATTAAATATATCTTCAGATGTAGTACCTGCTGACAAAGATTGGGAGTACAAAATCTCTTCTTGAATGATCTCTCCACGATATAACGAACATAAACTATTAACTGTGCACAATTAAAGATGTCGGTAGATTCATCGCAACTAATGGCAAAAAATGGCGATCATTTTACTTTGTTAATTATTTGTGACTTTATGTCGGCTGCAATGCAATCGATTCTACGCTTGTCTGTGTTGGCCGTAAGAGAAACAGACTTCAGTTTTTGCTCTGCATCTTCTCCTAAAATTATTTTATTTTTTCTTCACCGATAGTATGAGGTTTCTTTTGCTTTGCTATCATGCGATACACCTGTGTGATAACTTCCCGATTTATCCGGTCTCATCCGCTTGAGTGATTCTGCTTTAGAAGACAAAACTCTTTCGTGTTCAAAACCAGAGTAGGATGTTGTTGCTTCAAATGCCTTTCAAGACGACAATAAAACAAATAAGGAATAAATAAATAAGCAAAATACCTACATGTAATTACTAATTATATGCCCATTATTTTATCTTAATAACATAATGTATTCAACAGTATATTGGCCACCGGGACATTTATATTTTTGTAGGCAGGTTGACGTTATAATAGTAATTTTAAATACATTTGGAATCAATATTAGGTACTTAAAGTTCGTGGTTATAAAATTATTCCGCCACGTTGGTTTCATTGTGATGTGGTAAAAAAGTCCCAATGGCCGATCTATGAACGCGTCTCCACTCAATCAACAATTTAATAAATTAAACAAAAATGGTAATTGAAATTTTTAAATAAACAAACTTACCTTTTAACAGTGAGACACGCCAAATTTTTCGCAAGTTTGTCGGAATGAATATCACAGATCCGCGTCTGGTAGGTTCACAATTGCTTTCTGAGTGATGAATGTTAAGCGGAGCATGGCAGGGGTGCGCGAGGATTTCATGTTGTGACTTGTCGAAACTTGTATAAACTGCGATTGACGACGCCGGGTTTTGAAACAGCGGTTGACAGAATAAGTTAGTATGATATTTAATTTCTAATTTTATGCGAGTAAATTAAATATTACATTGTAATGTTATTTGTTAATTTTGTTTGTTTATTTTGTTTTGTTTTTTCTAAAATGTAAACCCGTTCCACCCCCCCCTTGGCATCTCTCTATGCCCCTCTTGGGAGGCGCGCCCCACTGGTTGAGTTTTTAGTCAAAACAATATCAGGTACAATAAATCAGAGAAACTGAGAATTGCACGATCATCAGTACCTCAATTTTTGAAATTCTTCTCCTAGTACAGAAATGATAAAACTCGGGTTTATGTGACAAATGCAACAATGGTTGACGGCCCCGTTGATATTGGTGTCACCAACTACTTGACAAATATCCTACCTATAACGATGGATTACGATTTTCTAGTTCTAGGAATAGCAGAAAACATCTCCGACAGAATATATCGTAGTATCAGCCCTCAAACATTTTTGATGAGCAAGAGGAGGCAAAATTTCCGGGGATTACCAAATATTAAAGATCCTACCGGGAGATTTATTATTTACAAAAAATGTGCTTCCTCTTGATATACGGTTTGCTTCCTACGCCTCGGGCGAGGAACTACTGTAATCGTGACCAAATTAGAAAATGAGATTGTTTTTTAAATGGCAGGTACAACATAAAAAAATTATTTGTCTGTCGGTATGTCTGTCCACTAATCCTTGCCGCGTCTATAACATTGGAAGTACAGCTCGTATTTTGAAGAAATCTTCAAGCAAGGCTGCTATTATGCCAAGGACGAAGAACCTTCGTAGCGTTTGGAAATTGATCCAGCAGCAACAGGACTATAGTAAAAAAAAATTGCCCAAACTTCATTTTTTGACATTTCAGCCAATCCAGATTATTTTCTGAAGGAAATTAAAGGAGTAAAAATTAGTTTGTTGGGGTTCTAGAGGGTAGGGGGGAGTAATTTATACCTTTCCAACCCCAGTAATTCTACGCATCTATTATACTCGCGTACCGAACAGGATGAGAGCATTGGAACACAGCGCACGCCACTGCAAGCGCGGCTTGAATACGGCCAAGCTGTGACTTTGCCAATTCAAAGGGAGGTCGCGCCCCCAGTAGCGTGCGATGTGTTTTGCTGCCCTCTTGCTTCTCTGTCCCTGGGTATAGACATATTTCATGCATCATAGATCTCCTCGTACATTTGCACTTAAGACTTGAGTGATTGGTTTATATATTCAATCTACGCGTACTGGACAACTCAACGAGCATACATCTGTCTGCTTCGAACGCTGAGAGATAACTGAGCGATAACTAGATCACAATGTTGTCAAATACTTATTGTGTGAGCCTATTTGGCTCATTACTACCCGTCTTTGCCTCTCAAGGCGGTCAGGTGGACCGTAGCCTTTATGTCACAGTCACTACAATGTCAGCGTCTATCGTTAGTCTGTCAGGTCTGGTGTCCCAGAAACTATACAAGTTGTACGGAAAAGGGGAGAGTGAGAAAGGGAAGAAGTAGGAGCGAGAAGAGAAAGAAAAGTAATTGTCTTATGTAAATATTTGAGGTGAGATGGATGTATGGACTGTTTGTACTATATAAATTTTGACTTGTCCTGAACTAAATTTTGTTTATTTGGTTTTTAAAACTATACTTTTGAAGGTCAAAGCATGAATTTAATTTTATTCACAGTGCGAGTCGCGGTCTGGAATGTTTGCGTATCTCCACTGTGTAATCCACTGCATCACACAACAAAAGATTGCTGTGCGATTCCGCTTGCTAGTAGCACCGTTGTGCCGTACCTATGATGTAATCCCTAAGGTAGGGGATGTCAATATCTCTATTGATACATACCGTTAGCTATTGTTCTGAGAATTCTACTCTACAGAACTTGTAGTTTACGTATGTGCAAAAAGCACCAAGCCGCACATGCGTGGGTTATTGCAGGTCTAATGATAGTTTTGTGTGACCGATTCTTATTGAGCAAACTCAATTTTGAAGTTCTACGTAAAAGAGGTTACAGTTTCTGGAATGTAATTTGGAATTTAATTTTCAGTTGTTCAATGTATGCCTGCCAAGTCATACCTTTGTCTAGTGTAAGATCTATGTATTTGACCTTATTAGTCCATGGTAAGGAAACGTCATCCACGGTAATCTCTGATGGGGCACCAAGACGCTTTTCTGAAAAATAGATTACTAGAGCACAAAGGAGTCCATGGGTTTAAAAGTGGGCACTGAAAACCTATTCTTACAGAGCTCTCTGCAGAGTAATAGTAGATAAGACCTCCTCTTTAGTATGGTTGTATCAAAATATCCGAGGTCTGTAAATTAAAAGATGAGACTGGCAACATTGCGTTAGACCTGGCAACACTGGAGGTGCCGGGCTTGGAGGGCAGACAGAAGAACATGTGATCCGCGTTCAGTACAAGTTTGAACTCGCTTGAGTCATTTGGCTGTCTGTAGCGGTTTGCTTTGTAAAACAGTTTTTCTATTGTGTTCTAAAAATGAATGAAATCAGTTTTGAGCAATGGTTTTGCTTCAGACAATGATTGCTAAACTTCAGCAGGCATACGGACATAGTGTTTCATTAAGACCACAGATTTTCTGTGGTTTAAGGCATTTTCAGAAGGGGGAGGGTCGATTTTAGATGAACCACGAAGCGGAAGGCCTTTATTTTTAAGAACCGATGAAAAAAATGGACAGAATCCAGAATTTTGTGCGTTCAGACATGAGAATGGTCGGGTAAGAGTTAAATTTGAGTCGCACCACCGTTTATCAGATCAAGGATACCTGTATGTTGCATTACGACAATGTTCCTTGCCCAGTAAAAACGTTCCTGTGGCTCATCAGCCTCTTTATTCTCCTGACTTGTGTCACTGTGACTTTTTCTCCTTCTAAAGTTGAAAAACCACCTCAAGAGAACTCATTTTTGGACAGCGGAAAAAATTCAAACGGTTGTAAGCTATTCCAGTATTGGAGTTCCAGAACTGCAATGAGGAGTGGAAGAACCGACTCCAGCTCTGTGTTGCTTTAAAAAGAAGTTATTTTAAGGATGACAATATAAAATTGTAATTATATTAGAATAAAAACAAATAAACAAATCAGTCTCATTGCTTATTTTACAGGCCTCGTACATTTCGAATACCACAGTATCGCGTGCTATAAATTTTCGCCCACATCGCTCAACGTCGAACATGATTTTCTGGATAATAATACGCATAATCTAAACACAGATGATTTTTCCGATCATCTATTTTTAAAATTTTTCTCCGATGTAGTCCTTATGCCGCCAGTGTATCTCCCGAAACAATTATTTCTATCTAGACTGCTGTACTGTGAGCGCGTTATCCAAAAATAGAGGCTGTCGTGTTCAAACGCGAGTCACTCAGTCGCAAGGTGTACCTAGTGGTCGTTGCCATGAGCTTTGTGAAGGGCATTTTTGGGGGAGACAGCAGGGAAGAACCCGAAGAAGAAGAGGAAGCTAGTGGAGAAGATACCTCCACATCTTCGGACACTGGGTTTTTTGGAAGCCCTGTGAGTAGCGACAGCTTGGATTTGGTGGAGAAGCTTGAAGAGGTGCCACAGATGCAGCTGCAAGATGCTGATTGTTCCACTATATCCAACTTCTTTGGTTATTGGTGAGTTTGAGAATCTTTTTTTTTTGAGATGTTCGGTTTTTGAGATTTGCGCTTTTCGTTTGATCTTCGTCTTTTTGTTAAATTGGTTATTACTTGTTCCCATACTTTATTGGTGACAGCCTTTATATTTATCTGACCATAGTTTCGCACTCCACACTTACCTCCTGATCTTCAAATTGGTTCAGTGCTGTTTATTTTACGCTTTTGAGTGCGCCTGATGCCTTTTGTCCCTCATTAATGTCCAGTTTCGTTTGATATACATGGTTACAACTAACGTTAGTTGTCTTTCACTGTGTTCTATTTAAAGTAATGGCGAGCTGTAGGTATGATTTTGAAAGTGATTGATTAAGACGTCTAACCAAAAGAACTCAGAACCCGAAACCCCCGTTCTGTTGATTTTAAATCTTAACCTTGAAGTAGAAGAAGGTTAGGGGCGTAATGAATACAAGACATTCCGATTACCCTTTCCAAATAAAGTTTATTTTGCGTTATTGAGCCAGACTCAAAGTCTTTTGAGTAATGTTACTGAAAAAAATACGTATTAAAAAATTACGGATTTATGGTTTGCCAAACTTACATGTAGGAGTACTTTTAAATTTAAAAGCCGCAGACAAATTACATTTTCAGTAGCTGAAGCAGCTTGTTCATACCCAATTTCAAGAACACTGGAACATTTTAAACAAGCCTTCATTAAAATACCCTCCCATTCAATAGAAATCGTCTATTTGCACGAATAATATGATACATTTTATTTTGAATTGCAATATCTGAGAAATCGCAAATAACTCAAAACTGTACTAATAAAAAACTAAAAAAAATGTATACCAAAGTAAAGGACAACTCATTTCTTTTTATTAAAGTTAAATGCGTTTTTAAGTACCATTCATAGAAGATGCATAACATCTAAAAAACGTTTAAGCTTCGATGAGCTATATGATGAGAAGCTCATTTTGACAGAAATCGTGCTATTCTATCTGCGAAAGTGAGCAATTTACACGCTGTCAAGGTTGAGTGCTTTTTCTTGCTTCAGAATTTGCAACATAGCTGAAAACACATTAAAAACTCACCGTGTATGTACCTATACACACACACGAAATTCGGTATTCCTGTTAATTTTGCACAAATTTATCTATTTATTTGTATACTTGAATCAGTTAACAATAAATAGTTACACTAATCTACAGTAATTTTTCAAGCTTGCATATTATGTTTATTGTACACCTAGACATAAATATCTGTATGTGCAGGAAAAATTATACAAGAATAATACAATCTAAGGCTTATGAGTAATTAAAATCAGTAATACTTGCACAAAAGTACTTAAAATATATAATATATATAATTTATAAACTTTTCTAAAAAATATTTCTTCCATGGTTTTTGCTACATAAATACACAATTCACATGACTTTGGAGGAAACTTTCCTTTGGCCTAGCATGAAATGATGATGTTTACTGTACTAGCATTGCAAATGGGACCTGATTTCGGAAATAAATCGATTTAACTGCTGTTACATTACTACAAGGTCAGATCGTGTTTTGCCAAAAATACCCAGGTTTGTTTATAATTCTTACACAAAAGTCCATGAGAATTAATTTATTTGCCACTACCGACAACTTCACAACATTCAGCTATCTACATCACCTCGTATTTCACACTTCGACAATGCATTTATTTTTGTCTCTGAAGCGTTTCACTACAAATGTGACTTGGCAGATGTGTCTAAGGTAAATTAGATTACAGATAATATTTATTAACGTTACATACTATTTGAATCAATCAAATAACGATATTGCGTTGATTGCATTTGCTAACGTTGTATCTCAGTGGTTTGAATAATGAAAGGTCGTAGTTTCAGTTTCAGTGAAATAGTTCCCAAGCCACGAAACTAGATTGAGGTTCATTGAAATCTGAATGTTTCAACTTATCATACTTGCTCAAAATCCATTATCTTATGAGATCCTGCTTAAGATTCGTTGACATTATGTTTCATGACCAACAGTTGAGACGCAACAAAGTAAATAAGAAGGAGCCAAGCAGCTAACATTGCATTGTTTGCCAAATTGCATACTTTTGACTCATTTGACTAACAAAGTGAGAACGTTGTTTCAACACAATGATAATACTTACCGAAGGAAACATAAACCTTCATTAAGCTTGTGCTACTCTTTACAAGTTATGTAGGAAGTACCATGTCTTGAAATCGCTTAACCCCACAATTATCAGGACACATTTTCCCAAAATGACACTAAAAATATGAATTTAAAGACAGAACTGTCAAAAAATTAACTGATGTCAAGAGCACTTGTAGTATGCACTTTGATCCTTATTACAGATTATGAGAATCAGGAAACAAAAGAGCCATTGACTAGGTCCTTCTACCTAGTACGAGCCCCTTCCGACTTCAGTTGGCCCAACTATTTTTCTTATCAAACACAAATAATAAAAATGTAGCAGGATGTTATAGGTTTAAAATATTAACAATGAATATTTTGATAATATATAGTAGAAAACACCAACTTTATCACTCCCTAATCAAATTTGCAGCATAAAAATAACACATGTTGCAATTACAGCATATCAACCTATTTTCATTTCAATGCAAAATAAGTCTATAGGTGGCTGTGAAAAATAAAAGCCATGACAATTGTTTTTATTAATCACAGCTGTCGGAATACGTTTAAGATAGTTTTGGGTAGTTAAGGTTTTCAAAATGGGTAGAGGAAGGGTTGTTAGTGAGAAAATTCGGTCACTGATAATTAAATTTTTTAATTCTGGGAAGTCAAACTCAGAAATTGCAACTTTGTTATACTTATCGCGGTGCAGTGTGAGAAATATTATTAGAAGATATAACGTAACTGGTTCAGTCAATATTAAGCCACAATATATGAAAAAAAGTAATATCACAAATGCCGACCGAAGAGCATGGAGTGACGCTGTTGGAAGGAGAATTTCGAGGTCCACAGCTCATAGAGAGGCCCACAAACTGAGATTTAGCACTTGCAAGGAAACTTTTCTTATAAAAAAAAGTGAAGTAAGAAACCTAAAGTTGCACAACTTGTTTATAGGCCAAAGAAAAGCCACTATTAACTCCACTGCAAAAGAAAATTCGGCTTAGATGGGCTAAAGAATATAGACAATGGACACCTCAACAATGGTGTGCAATACAATGAAGTGATGAGGCCCGATTCGAAGTTTGTGTTGGTGACAGTCGCAGTAGAGTTATTCGCAAAAAAAATGAAGCATTCCATGCTGACTGTCTGAAAAGAAAAGTGAAATTTCCAGCATCCATTATGGTCTGGGGCAGTATGTCATCAAAAGGAGTAGGAAAACTTCATTTTATTGATGGAAATGTGGATACAAACAAATATTTGGCAATTTTAGAAGAATCGCTTTTACCAGTGATGGAAGAATGTTTGACATCCGGCCAAGATTTTGTTTCAGCAAGATGGTGCAGCGGGCCATACCTCAAAAAAAGGCTATAAAATGGATGGAAGAAAATAACATACCACTTTTGAAATGGGTTTCTAGCAGTCCAGATCTGTCACCTATTGAAACTTTGTGGCACGAGATGAAAAAGGTTCTACGACAACATCCTGCTCGTACAATAACCGAACTGAGGCAAAAGCTTCAAGAAATATGGGATTGTTTTACACCAAGTTTTTGCCAAAACTTGGTTAACACTATGCCCCAAAGAATTTCGGCCGTAATAAAAAATAAAGGTGATGTTACCCAATGGTAATCTTTCAATTGTTGCTTTGTTAACTTCGCGCATTTATTCGCACATTGTTTATTTGTTCAGATGTTCTTTAGTTATAGGTCTAAGTGATTTCAAATATGTATTTTTTACAACTAGAGTGTATCTAAAATGTTTTTGAGAAAGTAAATTGCTTTAGAAGTAAATAGTTTCGTCATGTTTAGTTTATAAAGGCATATTTGGGTACAAATCTTGAAGTAGGCCAACTGAAGTGGGAAGGGGCTCGTAGTCTAATCATATTAGCAAATTTCGCCGAAATAATTGTAAAGTCTGGCTTTATTAGTGCAAGTTGTTCAAAGGGGTATTCAAAATATGGACGCATAAAATGGGTACACCAATTTTTGCGGGTAAACTTTTTATTTGACAACAAAGACTGAGAAAATGCGTTTTTTGGGATTCAATCGCTATTATTGACAGGAACGAAAAAACTTTTCATATAAGATTTTTAGTTATTTAAGAGACCTACAAAAAGACACCACACGTAAAAAGATCCGACTAACAGCAAAAATGTTTTGGCCGAAAAACGAGGAAAAATGCAGGTTTTGGCACTTGTTGGTAATGCGACGATAATTTCACGCTACTACTTGAAATTCTTCAAATCCGTAGGATTCATACTTCTGAATAATAAAAACAAAATTGGAGTATATTGGTCAAGTAGTTTTTTTTTGAGAATTTTTAATTGTTTGTCCCAGAACACCTATTATATTGCCCAGAACGGGATCAGTATTAATTTAGTACCACTCGGGACCCTTCGGCCCCTCCCTTATATACGCCACTGTTCGTTGACCTTATGGGGCTTGATATGTTGATTCTGTGATCCAGGGATTTAGTTGGAGTCCGCTGATGTCGAGATGTGTGGTGTCTCTGGATAAGGAATCTAACTAACATTTGATGGTTTCAAAAACTGTACAACCAAAGGAATGACAAGTCTTTTTTAGTCTGGTCAGCTTTTTATTTCGATCAGGGCATAACAGCTTTCCTTACGAAAAAGACAAATCGTGCAATAACATTGTGCCGTGTCTAAAGGCGACTTGATTAATGAAGAAACACATTATTTTTCAAGTGCCTTGTCTCGATCTTTCGAAATCGGAAGTCCAAACGTAAAATAAAACAAAACAAGCCCCAGCTCGCGTCCTCTATTTTTATACCCACTTTGTTCCTTGATTTATTTTTACCGGCTTTGCATGCATTCAACCATTCGTGACCATTGTTCAGATGTGCATCCACTGTCCTGGCCGCGCC